AAGAGGAGTGGGGAATGAGCAGGGGCGAAAAGAGGGACACGACGATCTGGAGGGCAAGTTGGATGAGCAGCAGAACCAGCATGAGTAGGGAGAAGGGGAAAAAGGGCATCCACAAAGAGGACGCGCAGAGAAGGAAGAGCAAGTAGGCAGGATGAGGAGGAGCAGCCATGATGAGGATACATACGTAAGACGACTGGTGAGGAGGCGGATGATGAGATAAGACATTGAAAGATGTAACTTAATGGGTAAGATGAGGAAAAAAGGAAGGAGGAACAGACAGTTATTAGGAGGAGGCGCGATGGCATCATCTTTCCCCTCCTGCCCGTCCTCCAATTCCTCCACTGCTCCTCCTCCTTCTCCTCCTCCTCCTCCTCCTCCTCCTCCTCCTCCTCCTCCTCCTCCCCCCCGCTCGTCCTCCTACTCCTCCTTCTCCCCCGTGCCCCCCCCCGCCTCCCTCCCCTCCCTCCTCCTCCTCCTCCTCCTCCTCCTCCTCCTCCTCCCTCCTCCTCCTCCTCCTCCTCCTCCCTCCTCCTCCTCCCCCCGCTCGTCCTCCTACTCCTCCTTCCCCCCGTGCCCCCCCCGCTCCCTTCTCCTCCTCCTCCTCCTCCTCCTCCTGCTCCTCCTCCTCCTCCTCCTCCTCCTCCTCCTCCTCCTCCTTCGCGCGGAACATGTACGTGCGGGATCGCGCCCCGGAACCCAAGCCGCGTGGGCGCGGCCACGGGCACCGCCGCCGCTCGTGGCCCAAGCGCGGGGAAGCCACAAGGTGCCGGCACTGCCACTCGCGGGACCTTTCTCGAGGTGCGTGCTGACAAGAATCTCGAGGCGAATCCAGCGGTGGGGACGAGGGCCTCCCAAGGAGGCCCCAGCAAGCGGAGACAGAGGAAGGGTAGCGGCATCGGGGAGACGTAAGACTCGGGCTCCGGGGATTCGGGCTGGCCTGGCGATGCCGTCAAGAGAACGACGAGACCCAGTCCGAAATTTGACGCGAGCTCCCGCTGCAAACATCCCACGAACACTGACCGTCAACATCCAGCACGGGCTCGTCAAAAAATGTCGGCTAACCCGAATCCCGACGTGCTCGAGCCTTCCATTTCCCCGACGGTACCGGTACAGTCGGCCCGTATATATCATAAGGATGCGCGATAAGGATGCAAGGACCTTGGACGCCGTTCCGAAGCTGTTCGAGCGGGGCGCGGCCAACGAGAGTGGCCAAGGATGGGCCGAGGAGGCAAGGATGCAAGGGTACCCCTTGGAAAGGTTGCCCGTCCCTACTATGCGGGGCCGGCCAGCGGAAGCTGCCAGGGATAGGCCGAAAGGGCAAGGATGCAAGGGTGCCCCAGGGGCAGGTTGCCCGTCCTTGCCATGCGGGTCGGCTGTGCTCGAGTCTTCCGTTTCCCCGACGGTCTCGTTAGGTCGGGCATGCCCCCTCACAGGCGGATTTTGGACGAAAACGAAAACATAGTCAAACGATGCGCAAAAATTATCAGAAATGCTCGAAAAATCGTCCCCATACTATTCTTGACTATCTTTGAACATTCCCCCTGTAATGGGACAGGCCCGACTTGACGGTACCGGTGCCTTCTCTTGATCCGACTGCGCGCGCGCGCCAGGGCGGCGCGCGCGCGCGGGCGGGGAGGCGGCCCCGATGCTCCCCTGGTACTGTGGGCAGCGCTGCAGTGCCAGCAAGAGGCCCCCAGCAGACAACTTTCGGCAGCGTTTCAAAGTAACCTGTTGGTGGGTAGCCGTTACGGTACCGTCTCCTCCTTTAGGGGAACAAGAAATGGTATAAACATAAAAACTCGGAGGTCCGCGAAGATTTCTCGCATCAGCGATGGGGCCCCCCGGCGGCGCCTCCGGCGCCGCCCCTGCCGCGCTCCGCGCGCCAGGGAGGGGGGTCCAGCGCCGATCCGAGAAATCCGCGCGGACCTCTGAGTTTTTATGTTTATGTCACTTTTTGTTCCCCCATCATTGGAGTCCCGAAACGCTGCGGTGACAGACCGTGCGGTGACCTCGACATCCCCCAAGACCTCACCGCACGGTCCGTCCACGCACGGTTCTGGGACGCCCCGGTTGCCCGAGACGTCCACGGAGAACGACCCGAGTCCCTGAACCGTGCGGCGGCCCCGACTCCCCACCGACTCACCATACAGTGTGGTCACCACCCCGTTTGGGGGCCCCTCGGGAATGGACAGACCCCCCTTTAGTAAAACGTGGTTTAGTGAAAACGACCTGAGGCCCAAACCTGGCGGGCGCAAGCCTGGAAAATAACGGCCACGGCGCCCTCTCGAGAACCGAAAACGGACAATTCACTCATCGACGTGTCACTGTTGGGGGTTCTGTCCACCCCCGAGCCCCCGAGCTACGGTGCCTTCTCCTCATCTGATTGCGCGCGCGCGCCACGGCGGCGCGCGCGCGCGGGCGGGCATCGGCGGGGGCACCGCCGAGCCCGCCGCTGCTGAAGACCACCCGCGGCCCGCCCATGCCGCCCATGCCGCCGCCCCTGGCGGGCCCGCGCCGCGCGGGCCCCTCGCGGGTTGCGAGCAGGTCCTCCTCCTCCTCCTCCTCCTCCTCCTCCTCCTCCTCCTCCACCTCCTCCACCTCCTCCTCCTCCTCCTCACCTCAGAATGACCCTTCGCCAGACCCAGACACGATCGCGCCGTAAGAAAAATCAGGGTGGGAGGCTTTGGGCCAATCTTCGGCCTCGGGGGGCCCACGCCGGGCCTCGGGGCCAGCGAGAAGCGACCCAGGACGAAACGCCGGTCCCGGGGAACGGCTCGGGACTTCCAGGGACCCCGTGTTGAAAAACATCAGGACGTCGCATGCCTGGGATTGGAGGATCGGGTCGGATGGGAATGTGCATCGGGCCAGGCTGCATCGGCGCGGAGCCGGAATCGAATAGGATCGGCTGCGCCAAGACGCACAGCAGCGCCATGAGAAGCATCGGGCTGGGTCGGGTCGTCGGCACAGCGGAATCGAATCGGACCGGGCTGGCACGAGTCGACATCGAATCCGATCGATCGGATCGACACGGACCCTGGCTGGGTGGGCAGCAGGGCGGTTCTAAGAAGCGCCTGCGGTCAGGAAATGTTGCTTAGCGTGTCACGGCGGCGGCCCTCCTCCTCCTCCTCCTCCTCCTCCTCCTCCTCCTCCTCCTCCTCCTCCTCCTCTCCTCCTCCTCCTCCTCCTCCTCCCCCCCTCCTCTTCATCCCTCTCCTCCTCCTCCTCCTCCTCGTCCTCGTCCTCGTCCTCGTCCTCGTCCTCCTCCTCCTCCTCCTCCTCCTCCTCCTCCTCCTCCTCCTCCTCCTCCTCCTCCTCCTCCTCCTCCTCCTCCTCCTCCTCCTCCTCTCGCCCCGCTTCGCGGAGCGGGACGCTGGGCAAAGCTCGGGACGTTGACGCCTGGGGGCCGCGACGTGGACACCGTGTCGCGCAGCAGAGCGGTGGGCCAGCACAGGCGGAGCGGCAAACGCTATCGAAAAGGAATTGGCCGTGATCTCACGCGCGGCGAACGCATCCGTCTCCACGCCCTCGCGGACTGGACTACGGGGCGCCATCCCCGCGGAAACGCAGTCGTAAAGATACGTTCCGCGCGGGGCGGGGCATCCGGGGCAAAGACGCGGCCCAGTGGCTCGGCCCGCGAGGCCGCGGCTACGGAGATGTGCTTCGCCCACGACCGCCCGAGCAGCGCCGAGTGCCAGCAGCACGATGCTCTCGTGCCACCTGAGAGAAAGTCCAGCTCAAGAGCAGGCAGGAGAGCCCAGAATCGAGTCGTCGAGTCGAGTTAGGGATCGAGATGCATCGAATCGGCGGACATCGGCAGCCAAGACGGGAGGTTAGCTGGATCGGCGGAAATCGGCATCCTGGCAATGCCTCCGCTGAGACCTCGGGACCCGACTCTGGGGAAACCACAGGGTACCGATACCGCTACTCCCCGGACCTCTCCCTATGGGTGCGTTCTGACCAGGAGCGGGCCAGGCCCCGAAGAAGGCAAAACGGGCGAAGGGAAGAGGTATGGGTACTTTTCCCAGACATGCGACGCCTTGTTTTTCAAGGCGGGGGCCCTGGGAATCCCCACCCCTTCCACGGGACCGGGGTTTCATTTTGACCCGTGTTTCGACGGCCCCAAAGCCCGGCGAGGGCCCCCCGAGGCCGCTGCTATTTGCACGACGCCACCATGCCTGGGCCTCTTCCTCGGAGACTCGCTCGCAGTCCGAAGTCGAACCCAAGCGGAAGCGGACGCCGTCGAATCTGGAGCGAAATCGAACGCGAGGCCTCCGACGGGGGCGGCGCTACGGAGGGCCATATGTGCATGCCCCGCGGGTGGCCCCGGCGCCTCCCGGAGAGGCCCGCCAGGCCCGCAGCGGCTCTCCGGGGACGTGCGAGCGGGAGGGCCGCTTTTTGGCGGCGCGCACAGGGGGCATGGAGGGAGGGGGGGGGCCTCTTAAAGGGCGCCGGACCTCCCTGGCGGCGCCTCCGGCGCTGCCCAAGAAAACCGCTTCGGCGCACACCGCTGCAAACAGGATTCCTCGAATCAAACCGTCGTCGCCCGAATTCCAGTTTCGGGCATGCGACAGATGTAGAATGGCTTGGGAATCCAACGAACCTCCCGTGAACGCATATCTTGAGAACGGAGGCGCCCTTAACGAAATACGTGAATGCAGCGCACATAAATACGCACAGCACGCGTTTGCACGATCGCGCCCAACGGACACCTTGACTGAGCATCGCCACGCGCCTGCTTGCGCGACGCACCCCTCGTCCTGAGCCTGAAGACGAAGCAAGTTCATGGTTGCGCACGAGACAAACCCACATCAATGAGTAGCTCGAGCGAAACCTGCGCAGACTGCATGATAGCTCGGGGCCAAAGGAGGCTCGATATGGCTTTGAAAAGGGCCCGCGCGGAACCCCGAGACGGAGCAAAGAGCCAACCGAAGTCGAAGATTGGAAACGGTTGTTTCAGATGCTCCTCTCTGGCTGTTTCTCTGGCCGCCTCCAGGGCTCAATTGGGGCCAATTTGAAGCCCCAGAAAGCCTTCAGGGCGCCCGAAAGGGTCCTGAAACGCTCCAAGAACCAACCCGGGTGGAACATCCGAACCGGCCGTTTCAACTGATCCGCAATAGTTTGCCCGCGGGGCCAATTGGAGACCCTGCCGGGTCCTGTTCGGGGCCATCGGGAATTCCCGGGAAGCCCGGAGAAGGCATCAAAGGACGCTGATACGGCCCCAACAGCCAAAAATAGAGCATGTTCAATTGAGTACTCAGATGCCCCATTCCGGCTAAAGGTCGGGGCTGACTTGGGTCTTTCTTCGAGCTACCTCGAAGCCGCCAGGAGCCCTGCAGGGGTGCCCATGAGAGCCCCAAGCGAGCCCCTAAAGCCAACTGGAGTAGAGCAATTCTGAAACTGCCCTCTCAGATGCTTCACTCTGGCTCGCTCGCGGGGCCCTCTGGGGCCTGTCCTGGGCCGTTTCGGAGCCACTTGGAGACCCCCAGCAAGCTTCAATGAGGCCTGGAAAGCGGCATCAAAACGGACTTAAGAGCAAACCAAGAGCAATCAATAACGAAGCATCTGAAACCATTGCCGTCTCACACGTTCCACAGTTACCCGAGGCGTCCAATGTCGCGGGGACCACCTTCAACAACACACGTGAAAACAAGATTTGGGGAGCCACGTGGTAGAGGCTGCTTCTTGAGAAACCATTGGTTGCGCGAGCCGCTGGCATTTAGGTACAGTCCGCGACTGATCCCCGACGGCTAAAGCATGTAACCGTGGACGCGCTGATTCTCCGTAGGCGTGAATGCAAAGCTTCAACGATGCGTCACTGTCAGACACAGAACCATGTAACTAACGCGACTGCATTCTTCAAGTAATGACAACGCCGCGCCAGCGGCTCCTACCATTTTCCACGCCAAACGATCAACCGTGAAGATTGCACGTTGTATTTCTCAGCGATCAATGCTTGCATGAAACGGCCTGCCGCTGCGCCGACCAGCCGATGGCCTTGGTGGCTCTCGCCAGCGTGGATCCGAGGATCCCCATGGGGGCGCAAAATATACAGAAATCGTATCCCCGCTGCAGACGGCTGGCCGGATGATCGACGCGTGCCAGGACCAGCGATTCATAAATCGCATCCCCGCTTCGGTCGAGCATGCTGCGCTACTCGGCCTGGATGGAAACGGCGCAATTTGCTCATGCGGTTGGCAATCTCAGGAGTGATGAGCTGGACCATCGGCCCCGCGGCTCGGAAATCGCAAGAGCAACTCTGAACTTCAGCTGCGGCGCGGCCAAGCATGCCTTGTTCGGGGGCGGCCTCGTCGACCCCCCAAACTGCCATCAGCGGCGCGCGCGTGGCGGAGCAGGCCTGTCGGGCCCGGCCAGCAACGACGCAGGCAGGCGCCTGCGCGCGTTGCAATCTCGGGTTCAAGCTAAAATGAGCCCCCCCCCAAGGCTAGGTCCATCCAACCGACCCAACCCTCTCGAGGCAAGACCTCCCCACTGCGGAATGCGGCCCCGAGCCGCCGGACAATGTTCTAAAAGGCCCTGGGGGGCTCCGATTAGCCCACGAGGCTCTGGAAGCCCTTCGCAGCTCGCAAGTTGACCTCCGGAAAAATATCCCGGCAAAGCAACCTAACAGCGATGTGTAGAAGCATAGCTGGAAACATTGCCAGTGGTATTCATGTAAGAGTGCTATTGTAGAATTCTGGTGTTCTCGCAGTCGCATTCGGATTCGCAGTGGCAGTCGCAGTGGCAACATCAGCGGCAGTCGCAGTGGCTCTGCCAGTAGTTGCAGTAGCAATAGCTACACTAGCAGCAGCAACAGCAGCAGCTGTAGTAATAGTAAAAGTAGTAGTAGCAGTAAAAGTAGTAGTGATGGCAGTAGTGGTAACACTGAAGTAGTAGTTGTAGTGTGTGGAGTGAACGAGTAGGAGTGATGGGAGCAGTGGTAGTAGCAGTAGAATCACTGCTTTCGATAACGGTATCTCCAAATTAAATCTGTGTATAAATGCATTGAGGTCTGAGCAAGACACTGCTATCAACGGATGTGAGTCCAAACGAGACACTGCTATCAACGGGTTGAGCCTCAAACGACACACTTTGCTGAGGACCGCTCAAGGCAGCACGCTGAGGAGCAGCGCTGTTCCCTGCCGCAGGCTGATGAGCACCGCTGTTCAATGCAGCAGGGTCAGGAGCACCGCCGCCAGACCGAGAACTATCAGCATGTCCTGGCATTAAGGTGCGCAGTAGGCGCTGCGCAGTTCCTTTGAAAGGAAATCTTCGAAAGCAGGGCTGTAGCCAAGAAGGCTACGGGGACGATGATGATGATGAAGATGGTGAGTCTTGGAAGTCTGGGAAGTGGAAGAGCACGGAATGGCGTACAGTTGGACCCGGGCATTCAAAATGTGGCCCGGGAGTAAAGTTCTGGGAAGTGGAAGAGCACGAAGTGGCCTACCGTTGGCTCCGGGCATTCAAAATGTGGCCCGCGAGTGGTGTTCTGGGAAGTCCAAG